GCTGGTAAAAGGATATGAGGGGACGTGGGAGGGACACCAGTAGGCTTCACTCCAAGCGCCATCGCAAAACCATCATCTGTCCTTCTTAAAATGACATCACAGTGAACCACCTTCTACTGTCGCCCTGAGAAAAAAAGAAAAGAAGTTTAGAGAGTCTTTCTTTAAATGTTTGTCTGAAACAGAAATGCACACCCAAGTACTATTTTTGCTCATGAAATGGCAGGTAAGGTCGTACTAGACTTAATGTGTTTATATGCCCAGGCCGAGTCCCAAACGTAATAGGGAGATATGCTATTTATTATTAATCATGAAACATATTACTTAGCAAAGCAGGAGCTTGACGCTCCTTCAGGCCAGGGATTCAGATGTTTTACATTCTCATTTGGCTTTGTGTGAAAACATCCATCCCACTGAGGAGGAAGGAAGCACAAAGCCCTTGAAAAATCAAATAGAAAAGAATCATGGATCTATTCAATGGGGGAGATACAAAGGATTCTAAAAAGAGAACCCACAAGAAATAAAGAGATGGTTTTTGAAATGTAACCCTGGGGAGGTGCTCTGATGAGATGCAGATGGTCTATAGACCCAACAGGTAGATGTCTACACTGGGAGAGAAAAGGATGGGTAGAGGAAGTCTTAGAATTCTCTTCAAAAGCATCCTAGGAGAGTGTACAGCTTTGGAGACTATAGGAAATAAATGAGAGGGAAAAGGAAATGATGCCCAGTAGAGGTTTGAAACAAGAATACAATTTTAAGGCTTCATGTTGCAGGATTAAAAGAGATGAGACAGAGACCATGGCTAATACCCAGAAGTCTGAGTCAACATCCTGGACCCAGGTCTCCAGCTCATCACGCATAGGCATTACCAAGAGCCTAGACAATGAGTGGAATATTGTTTTATATTCAAATAGACCCAACAGTAGGCCTTTAGATTTCCTTGTGCGTTTTTCTTTAAGGTGTATGATTTTGGGGAATTGATTTTTAAAAGTTGAATACTTTGTAAATAAAGGCAAACAGGGGAAAAGGAAACTATGTGTTATGTAAATTGTTCCTCAAAATAAGCCCAGCCAGATAAGTGTTATTATCCCGTTTTTCCAGACCAAAAAAGCAAAGTTTGGAGACTGATGTGATTTTCCCACACCCTAGTTTATTAAGTGGAAGAATGAATAAATTTTACCCTTTATCCCTTCTACCTACTAACAAATATTAGTTGAGGACCCATGGTGTACTTATTCTGGACACCGGGGAACCAAATAATTATTTGAACCTATATCTGTGTGATTCTGGAGGCCCTTCTTTTTTCCCCAGAGTCTAGTGGCAAAGCTCATTTAAATCTGAGCTCACAGTAGGTTGGATGACTCTATGATTATGCAAGATGGTAATGAGATTTACAGGGAGGGGAGAGAGTATAAAACAATGCATGGCCAACTTCACGCTAGGTTTATAGGCTAAGCAGGGAGGACCCGAACCATTTTGCCTGCTACTTTAAAAAAAATAAAAATAATGAATCACCAGAAAAATAATAAACACCAGACTTTTATAGTTACAGGTTCTGATTATCAAACATGGGAAAAGAAAGTATAAAGAGGCAAAAATCATTTTTGATGTTACAAGCCAGAGATAATGACTATAATTATTTTAAAGTATGTTTTTCCTGTCCATTTCTTTTTTAACCCCTTTGGCTGCTTAAAATTTTTTCTTTGATTTTGCTTTTTAACAGTTTTGTGTAATAGATCTGTGCGTGGTCTTCTTCATATTTCTCTGTCAGGGGACTTTGTGAATTTGTAGGTTGATATGTTTTATCAGTCTTTTTCAGCTGTTATCTCTATATACTGGTTTTACCCCATTCCTTTTCTCCTAGAATGCCAGCTGCATATATTTACTAACCTTCTCACTGTATTCTTACCTTTTGCTGTCCATTTTTCACCTTTTTTTTTTTTTTTTTTTGTCTCCTGAGCTTCATTCTGAATTTTTTCTTGGGAGTTGTCTTTCAGTTTATTAATACTTGTAAGCTGTATGTGACCTGCTATTAAACTCACCCGCTGAGCTTTAAATTTCTGTCATTGTAACTTTTCTATTCTACATTTCTCCTTTGGTTAGTTTCTCAGGTTTCCAGTCTTCTACTGAAGTTCTCAATTTTCTGCTTTATTTCCTTGAGCACATTGAGCATATTTATTTTCAAGTAGCATCCTACAACTACAGCATCTGAATCCTTCCTAAATCTGTTTCTATTGCCTGTATTTCTCTTGAATTTAGCCATAGAGGTTTTTTTTTTTTTTTCTTAAGATTTGATTTTTAAGTAATCTCTACACCTAACCTGGGACTCAAACTTATAACCCTGGGATCAAGAGTCACAAGCTCCATCAACTGAGCCAGCCTGGTGTCCCAAGCCATATATTCTTATGTTCCATTGGACCCTAACTGAAGCATCATTCAGCATTAAGAAGGTCTGTCATAACTTAAAATCAAATAATAGTTCTCTGTTATAAGATCTTATCAAGTTTAAGGTCCATTGTTGATTTAATTATAGCTTCTCTGAGAATTGGAAGTAAAGACATACTACATGAAATGTACACATGTGACCTGATTTCAAACATGTCACATTATAAAAGAGTAGGCATCTAAGATTTCTAGAAATATGGCAGAATTCCTCAGCCTTGGGCAGACCTGTTTGTATATCCTGACTCAGTTTCTCTTTAAGTCTCCCTTTAAATCCTCCTTAGGGAGAAAGAGAGATAACCTGAATTGTCCCAAGGCTTTGTTACCTCCAAAAGCTTGAGAACTTTCCAGTGCATTCCTGCTGATTAAACCCACCTTAAACGTACTTAGAAATATGATCCACAAGAATGCGACAGGAGCCTGGTGGACCACGGAAGTCCTTATCCCCAAAAGGGGAAAAACCCAACTCTCAGGCTTGCAGTAGAAGGGGTTTCTTATCTTCTGCTGAAGCTGATGTGGCTCAGGTACAGTTCATTTTCTTTCAGTATTCCAGGACTGGTCTTAAGTATCACCAGAACTTTTCTTGGATGTGAGCTCTAAGAAGCAAAACTCAAAATGGAAGAGAAACTGCCCTAGTGTTGCACAAATCATAGCCCTTTGCACAAAGCATGGTCCTGTGTACAAAGCGTAGCCCATTGCACAAAGCATGGCCCTTTGTACAAAGCATGGCCCTTTGTACAAAGCATGGCCCTTTGATGGGGTAACTAACCACAGAGTGGAGCCCCTTCCAGGGCCAGGCAGTTGGGGGCCATGACCAAGTGAAGAATGCAGCCGCCATTAAGCAGAGAGCCACCCTCAATGCCAGTTGATTGTGGCCATATGGGAACACAGACCCAGGGCTTCTGGATCTGAATTTTGCTCAGAAACCGGTAATAAGGAGGTCTGTGAGCAATCTCCTGATTTTTATGTTGGCAGTGAATTCCATCTTCTAAAACTTGCGGGTGTGACGTACCATGTTTTTGAGATGATTGCAGATTATGGGCCCTGGTTGTTTCTGGGCTACACATTCGGCAGTAAGCAATCTCTGCTATTAGAAGAGATTCCTGTCACTGGACAATATGGAATTCTTTCTCTGCCTCTCCCTCCTCCATCCTAGAGGCATTCCTGGAGATATAAGCACTGGGGCTTTCTAAGGCCACTTGAAGTCTCAAAAAGTGCATTGCTCTCCCTATGCCTTGTTGGTATTTTGAGAGCTCTCGCAGGTTCATTTTCTAAGTTAAGGTGGGGCTTTGGAGTTACCCACTGTGGAAACTGCTCATAGTATGTAGCCCCAAAGCATACAGAACATCATTGAAATCATCTGCCACATGGCCAATGGGTAGTCTTAGAGCAGACCTACCAGAAATTTGGTTAATATTAGCAACCTTGCCAAATTTGCACAAAGGGAAATTTACCAATTTTTAGTTCTCAAGTACTTTGGAAGTGTTATATGAATGGAATGGAGGTTCTTTTCTTGCCTGGAGGCAGGCAAGCAGGTTGCTTGAAAGGTAATTGGGACAGTTATGGGAAGAAAAGCGTGTCAGATGCATGATCACATCGCTCGGGGACTGTTTCATAGGGATGAGACTGTGTCTTAGAAGAAATGATTAAAAAGAGACAAGGGAGGCTGATGGAGTGATTGGTAACCAAGTGCCATAATTAAAGGTCGAATTCCTCAGGGGACTTCCTCTGCGCCCTTAGGCAAACAATATTCAACATTGCGCCATAATCCATTTGAGAAAAATATGTTACTGGATAGCGTCTTTCTGGGAGTCATCTAATATCCTGTTCAGTGCTCGCAATAGCCGGAGTTGCCATTTCTGGCCCCCACGGCTGTCCAACAGGAGTTAGAGAATAGAAATGCCCTTGGAATGGGTATCGTTAAGTGTCTAGATAGAAAGCATATCATTGGAGATCAGAGGAACTTTGTCGTATCTCCGAATTTATATAGTTTCTAGTATTTTTTAACTACAGCTTTCAGCACACTTGGGTTCCTGAAGCTGGAAGATAACATCTAAATTCATTTCACGTATGCAACTTTGTCTCCAATAAGTTCTACCTTCTGCGTATAACGCAAATAGGAAACTGAATGGTCTTGCTTAATTGGCCAAGCTTTAGGGAATGAAGGAGACAGCACAACAACATTGAAAAACAATAACCCCTGTATACTGGTCATAAAATCTAGGTGCAATGTTTATTTTGTCCGGGCCTGCCCGGCTCCCACAGTTTGAGAAAGAAATGAACAAGATCACAGGAGAGCCAGTGGCGGTGTCAAATTTATTTATATATGGAATGAAATACTTCTCGATTTAGGAATAAATCATTAAAACAAGGGACGACATGTCTAACACATGCCTTTTCTATTACGGGTTTTCTCTCGGTGATTTCTCTGGGCACCGTCGTTAGCAGGCTTCACTCAGTGCATTTTTAATTCAGCGAAGCGTGAAAAGATTTGGTTCTAAAATGGACTCCTTCACACTTTTGATAACTTTTCCCCCAACCCCTTTTATTTCCTCTTTTAGTCCTTGAAGAAAGAAACTGCTCAGACCCTGGGGGGCCAGTCAATGGCTACAAGAAGATAACAGGAGGACCCGGGCTGATCAACGGGCGCTATGCAAAAATCGGCACTGTCGCTTCCTTCTTTTGTAACAACTCCTACGTCCTTAGTGGCAATGAGAAGAGAACTTGCCAGGAGAGTGGAGAGTGGTCGGGGAAACAGCCAATCTGCATAAAAGGTAACTTCCAAGTATTTGCGAAAGTCACAGGAGTAGATGGAGTTGCGGGCCTTTTAGTGGTTCCCATACGTGTTTGTGAGCCGCTGGGGGAAAAATGCCTTTCCCTCTTAGGTTCTCCCTGGAACCATCTATAACTCCCAGGTGGAAATCCATCTCTGAAAACTTTTGCCCCTTTTCTGGACCTCCAGAGGACCTGCTTATCCTAATCACAGCTTCCCGCTGTGATCAAGATAGTTACCAGAGTGGTTTTAGGAAAGATGACAGGACTGTTTTAGAGATGCAGACCCAAGAACAAAATTGAGGCAGTCGATGTGCTTCGATACAGCCATGTTTATCCTACTCTCTATGAGATACAAAGTTAGCACAGGAAACAAAAGCACAAAATAGACGACACACCATCTCTTGCAGCCTATGTGGCAGGAGGTTTAAAATGTTAACATAGTGGGGGCGCCTGGGTGGTTCTGAGGCTTAAGCGACCAGCTCTTGATTTCCGCTCAGGTCATGATCCCATGGTTTGTGAGTTCGAGCCCCTCACTGGGCTCCACACTGGCAGCGCAGATCCTGCTTGGGATTCTGTCTCTTTCTCCCTCTTTCTGCCCCTCCACCGCTCGCGCTGTCTCTGTCTGTCTTTAAGTAAACAAACATTTAAAAAAAAGATGTTAACATAGCAAAAAACATCTGTAACAAGATGTTGAGTCCTTGAGCATTCAAGGCAGAGTTAGAGGAAGCAGATGAGCGGTGTACGTTCAGAGAAGGGAACGAACAATATTGCTGGAAGTGGAGACCGTTGCACACCGCAAGTCAGAGCAGAGCCGATCTGGGGGTTTGGGAAGGGTTGGCGGAGGTGAAGAGAAGTCGAGACGATATTGCCGTCATAAGATAAAGGAAAACAAGGAAGTATAGACAGGAGTGAAAGGATCATGCTAAACTCAAAGTGGGGCCAACTAGGAATCTGGGAGGAAGATGGGAAAGGTTGGTTTGGGATCAGAAAAAAATGGAACCTTGTATAGAGAAGCTTGAAACTTCCCCCTTGGCAGTGGCTATGGGTAGTTTCTTACTGAACCAAGTCAACAGCCCCTGTGTTTTAGGGGCAGGTCACAATTATCTGGCTGTTTCCTAGGAAGAAAAGCATGTCCTTGGCCTAGATTATCCAGATAATTGCCTTAATCCTCCACTTTCCCTTCTGGGTGTTTGTCAACAACCCAAATCCTGGGAAAAGAAATAAAAGAGAATTGGTTTGTGAAAGGAATAAATCACTTTAGACTTTAGCCAGAAGCGACCTTCCTCCCCGCCAGCACAGACTATGATTCTTGATTTCATTAAGTATGGAAACGGTGTTACATATGTCCTTGGAGATTTTTGTCAACTCTTCTCTTACGAATTAATAACAACCAAAGTCCTCTAGTTTGCTAATTAGACGAATGTTGGCTGCCTGATTGGGAAAGTGGACCACGAGGGATTGCTTTTCACTTGTGAAGAAAGAGACACTTCGGCAAAATTACGCGGGGCTTTGAGGTGTCCTTAAATGGTCGCCAGGAGCCTCAATTTCAGAGAAAGGACATGGTTGAATCAGCTACCCAAGACCTACCCATGGTGGACACTGGCGTCTGGTCCTAAAGGAGAGCCTTGTAGTTCCTTCTGTTGGGTTATATATTAGAACCTTCATTTTGACCTTGACTCCATTTTCCGCCAAAGTCACTAATGCTATTTGTGTGAACAGATAGAGCCAGTGTGTTGACCTCCAGACTTCCACAGCACCCAGGTAGGGCGGCTTTTCAGAGGTGCGTGCTCCATGTGGGTTCTTCGGAGGGGCTCGTCAATTTAGATGAAGGGCAGAATGCTCTTTTGCTAGGGAGCTGTCTGAGCTTGGCCGGCGTGCCTCCCCTCCGAGAGCTCTGGGGGTGTCCAGAAAGGGCAGACAGACAGGGATGAATCTGAATGGAATGATATGAGCAGTTACTATGGGAAAAGAATGTGCAATGTTGTCTCCTTCGTTCTAGCCTGCCGAGAACCAAAGACCTCAGACCTGGTGAGACGCAAAGTTCTTCCGATGCAGGTTCAGTCAAGGTGAGGTTGAAACACCTGGGCTCTGCTTTAAAGGCAAATGCATGTTTCCCCTTCCGCTCCTTTTCTCGCCCTGTGTCTGGCCAAAGACATTCTGGGGTTCCTTAGGGACACTCAGTGCTGACTGCTCAGGAAAGAACGGGGCCTATTAGAGGGAGGCTAATAAGCCAGCTGCCCTTGGCCAAGAGGTAGCAACTGCTGGAACAGGTATACAGTTCACTGGGTCGTGGGAAAGTGGGTGGTTGGTGGGAAGTGAGGCTTGAAGATGATGTGTGAGGAAGTGGATTTTAGTACTTGAGTCTTCCTGAAATTGCTGTGTGTTTACTAGAGTAACGTCTGTGGGGATGGCCTTCCTGCCGGACTCAGGAAGATGTTCTCTGTAGAAATCTACCAGATGAGGCCCGCCAGTGGCACCCAGGAACTGGGGATAAATGATCAGCCCCGATGAGGGATGCAGGCTTTCAGATCTGCCTGCCCGGCCTTCCTCCTGGGAGGACCAGAGTGGAGGCCACCAGTGGGGAAGGAATAGGCCCATTACTACTATTTCCTGCCTCATTCTGTAGGAAATACTGTTTCATCTCATCTCCTACCATTCTTCTCCTCACTCTCCACTCCGGCCACACAGGCTGCCCGGCTTTTCCTCTACCTCTACGCACGATGCCGCTTCTGAGCCTTCCACCTCCGTCTGGATCCTGCTTCCACCGGATTTCAGGGAGGCTTCATGCCTCCCTTCCTTCAGCTCCTTCCTCAGCTTTTTACCTGGGAGAGAGACCTTCCTTGGCTGTCCTTTTGAAAATAGTACCGCCCCAAAGTAACAACTATTTAACTTTTCTCTTTTTACACTTTATATAAAATTAAGCCTTCGTCAACCTAATCGATTGATCGATCAGTCAATCAATGAAGGTAGTGATGCCACCGGCATCCAGACTGCAGAGCCGACTTCTCTACTCTCTGGCATTTGCTATGACTCCATCCTCGGCTTGGTTTCGTCCCTACCTGTTGTCTCACATCCATTTTTTCATTTGTTCAAATTCTATCTCCACCTAGCCCACAAAAAGAAGTAAGTCAAAGTTACAAGTACTGGAGCATTTTGTGTTTTGTTTATGTCCGAGTTCTCCTGCCAAGAACAATACTTGCTCCACAGGAGGCACCCAAGAAAACATAACCACCCTGGACACTGACTGAATGAATGGGATTGACAAACAATGGCTCAAGACCTCGTTCTTTCTTTAGGGCTGCATTTAGTATTCTTGGGCAAGCTCCTAAACTTGCTAACAAGACGTTAGTTGCCTCTTTTGAAAAATGAGGACAATCACAATAACATATGTCTCTGGGTATTACTGTATGGGTTCAATGCAACCTCGATAGCCAGCAATTATTGAGTGCTAGGTGCCAATTACCCTTCTGAGTGCCTTCCATGTATTAGTTCATTTAATCCTTATTACAGCCTCTGAGGTAGGTATTCTTATTATTACCATTTTATTATAGATTTTATTACCAATTTTATTATGGACAGGTAAACGGAGGCTCAGAGAAATCAGTAAACTTGCTCAAAGTCACATTGCAAAATGTGGACCCAGGATGCAAATCCAGGGTCTTCATAGTCTTTGGGGTCTTCAGGGTTTACTCCCTTAGGCACTAAGCTCTAACTAAGCCCTACAGAAAGACTTTAGCAGAATGCTTGCCCAAATGAACCCTTGTCACTGGTAGCTAGTGCTTTTAGGAATGGTGACAATGCATCCCAGTGACTAGAACTGGCCAGAGCCAAGTGACCTGAAATATCATAAGGCAGGATATTCCTCAATCCCTCACCCTTCCTCTGGATATTTCCTTCTATTTCTGTCTTTCCCTTTGCAGGCAAGGCATTTCCTTGGGAACAGTGACAGTGGAATACAAATTCCATCCCCTTTCCTGATCTCTATGACCTACCTGGAGCAAGATTCTCCACTAACAGGGATAGACCTGTTCTTTCCAAGGAGACATCTTGCAGAGCAGCCCCTGAGCTATTAAAAAAGACCGCTGGGCTTTGCATTTTTAAAGTGATTATAATGGGAGGTTAGGTGACAAGGTGTCAGGTAGCTCATGTAGATGAAAAAGCAAGCCTAAATCTTGGTTTTAAGGATCTTTCTGGAAGATAGGCTGTTGGAACATGGACCTACGTGTCTCTAGCAGCCAGTCACCCACGAACCCCCAAAGGCAGCATAGTCTTTCAACAGATGGACCAAAAGATGAGCTTGTTTGCCAATTCAGAAGCTCCTTGACCTGCAGACCTTGTACAAAACTTGGGCTAAAGATTTGTTGAATGAAGTCAGTGTGGGTGGAATATTTGCTCTGAGCAAAGTGCCCTATAGACACGTGAAATAGATTTCTTCAGATGATATCAAATGGCCCAGCATAGACACCAGGTTGGGAACCATAACTGCTAAGTGCTGCCTTGGGTACCATCTTAGCTTCCTGTGTGCCCTTCTGTACCCTTATTTCCCTCTCTGCGCTTCCTTTCCCCATTCATTAAACAGAGACAAAAACATTGTTTCCTAATGGAATTCTAACTTAGCGATCGTTAGCACTGATACCCGATGAAAGCAAGCTCTCCGATGTGTGTGCCTCTCCCCAGAGAACCCCTGAGTGCTCTCTGGGGGCTTTCGCTTCAAGTGCTCATTTGAAAGGCCTTTTCCCATTTACACCCAGTGCTCTGTGTTTCTGCCAATCACTGTACCCTGAGAAAGCTCTATTCTCTGAGGTGTCCTAATTATATATGCTGATTGCTAAATCAAACTACTGTATCAACACAGTTTAGTTCAAGTCAATTCCTAATGTTGCCCCATTATGATAATGTTTGGAGGAAAAAAGATGCCTCGATTTCTCTCATTCAATTGAACTTCCCTTCCTGTTTAATTTCACAGTTAATTTTTCTCTGTGTGCATGTCTAGCATACCCTTGGATCGCAGCTATTATGCCAGATATTATCCTCCGGTTAAAATCCTAGCAGCTGGAGACATGCCAGAAATGGAGATGGATGAACAGAATGAAGGTTGAGATGTGCAAGAGAATTTGCTCAGTGGCAGAGGGGGAGTGTGTGTGTGTGTGTGTGTGTGTGTGTGTGTGTGTAAGTGAGAGGGTGGGGGAGGTGGGCAGGACGGAGAGAAAGAATGAGACAGCTTTTCTTTCCTGCTGTAACCAAATATCTACGTGGGGCCTGGCGTGGATACTACGGGGGCCACCGTGACCGTCTCTCGCCCTGATCTCTCTGGGCCCATGGGTCCCAATGCAGGGAGACGCCATTACACCAGCTCTACTCAGCATCCTTCAGCAAGCAAAAACTGCAGGGTGCCCCCACCAAGAAGCCAGCCCTTCCCTTTGGCGACCTGCCTCCCGGGTTCCAACACCTGCACACCCAGCTCCAGTACGAGTGTGTGTCGCCTTTCTACCGCCGCCTGGGCAGCAGCCGCCGCACGTGCCTGAGGACTGGGAAGTGGAGCGGACGTGCCCCGTCCTGCATCCCTAGTGAGTCAAGGCTTGTCCTTGGGCTGGAGCCCCTTACAGCTTCCATGGCTACCTGTGAAAAGCCATTAACCCTCTTGCAGACTTTTTGGAAAAGACTTCTTGCCCAGTGATCTTAGATGAATTTTTTTGGAGGGAGCATACTTCCTTGTGGATAATTCTATTATGTTTACTTGGATAAAAGGGAGAGAACCATCATTAAACACCCAAGTGGGGAAAGGGTTAACAATCCTAGAAGGCTTCTAAGCACGTCATCTTGGATAGCCTGTCTGAGCCCATTTTCATGCTCATCCATTGGTACTGAGTATGTAACTGTTATTAATTAGGTGATGAGCTATTAATTACCCATAGGTTATGATGATGACTACTGAAGTAATATGTGGAAGTATCTGGAACAGGGTCTTGCACATAGTAAACTGCCTTCCCCATCCTCTTTGGGGATGGCTTAATTCTTTGTGGTCAAGTTTATAATGATAGTCATGATATTTTGAGTCTCACTGTTTACATACATGATCATCCAGTCTCCTCAAGAATTGGATGAGACAAGTGTGGTTACTGTATCCATTTTGCAGGCAAGAAGACTGAGGCTTTAAGAGATTAAGCAATTTCCCCCAAGTCCTATTGATAGTAAGTGCCTGGGATCAAAAGCCTTCAATCTTAACCCTAGACCTTATAGCCAACCATGTCAAGGTGGGTGATTACCGTTTAGTGGGAAAAGAAAAACAGCTTAGATGCTTCATCACGCACACAGTGCTTACCTTTCGGGTTTGTGTTTCCTTGGTTGAGCTACACATTCCCCTTTGGATGGAAAGTCGGAGTTTATCTTACTGAGCCAGTGCTTTCTCCATAGTCTGTGGGAAAGCTGAGAACATCACTGCTCCAAAGACCCAGGGGGTGCGCTGGCCGTGGCAGGCGGCCATCTACAGGAGGGCCAGCGGGGTGCACGGTGGCGGCAGCCTGCACAAGGACGCGTGGTTCCTGGTCTGCAGCGGCGCCCTGGTGAACGAGCGCACCGTGGTGGTGGCTGCCCACTGTGTGACTGACCTGGGGAAGGTCACCATGATCAAGACAGCAGACCTCAGAGTCGTCCTGGGGAAGTTCTACCGGGACGATGACCGGGATGAGAAGACCATCCAGAGCCTGCGGGTGAGAGCGGGCTGTCACGGGGGAACTGGGCTCGGTTAACTCCACACTGGGAGAGCAGTAGCTGTGTCCGTGCCAGCGCCTTGGCACTGTAGCAGCCAGCCCAGAGCCTGGCATGTAGCAGGTACCCAATATTTCACATAAACAGATACCAGAAAGGGGCATCTAGAAAGACTAGGGAGTCTTTTTTCCTTTTGTTTTCAAAATAAAAGTGTAACAAATATCATCTATCATGGAGGTCATCAAAAGTTAATCACCTATTGTGTTTAGGGCATTGTACTAGGTAGGCTTTGAGGACATAGAAGGATTTTATCCAAGATACTCCTAATCAATTTATAATATTCATCTGTTTTTATCTGCCTCTTTCCCTCCCTCACTCTGTTTTGTCTACCTACCCACCCCCCTCTCTGTCCGTCTGTCTATCTATCTATCTATCTATCTATCTATCTATCTATCTATCATCCATCTTATCCATCTATCCATTCATTATTGATCTCCCACAGTACGCCAGTCACAGGGAACAGGTACAGAGCTGATACATAAGAATAGATACATAAGGCATGTTTTGCCCCGAAGAGTCCACAGGCTAGTGGAAGTGACAGACCAGAATATTATGATTAGTTTGACACAAGAGAAGCCCTGAGGAAATGTGCCCACATGTAGTTGAAGTAATAGAACGTGAACATCAAAATGTTAGAGCGTAAGATATAAGCTCCTAGAAGCTCCCATCAAAGAGAATGACCAGCAAGGGTTGGGACAATCAGCGAAGACTGTGGAAAAGGCTTGTGGAACATTCTGGGTGTAGCTCTGTTTTACTAGCTTACAGATAAATGTATATGGTGAGCCAGAGGTTGCCCACTAGTAGCCCTTAGGGGTTTGTGTTTAGGTGGTGCTAACATACATTTTTTTTTTAAAACCAGTTATGTGCCAACATTTAAAAATCAGGAGGTTCAGATGAAGATCTGGAGTCTGTTCTCTGGCAAGGGTAGACTGCTGCCCCCTTTTGGCTGGGCAGTGGTCAGCTGGAACAAAGTGGCCTCTACCCATTTTAGATGGGGGGTGCAACATTGTCGTCTGCAGCCCCCTCTTCCACCCTATTAGTGAACACCACCTGCCAGGCGGCAGTGGGCTTTTCACTTTGCAAGCCCCGAAAGAGAGCTGTTGTTTGCCAGGACCCCTTAAGCAAAGTATCTCTAAAGAATTGCATGTGTCTCTGAGACATTTTCTCCGGATAATTTAGCCCCAGGGCTTGCCTGCTCCTGTTCACGGTGCAGCTCGTGGCTCACCATTACTGTCCGTTTCCTGCATTTGCAGATTTCTGCAGTCATTCTGCATCCCAACTACGACCCCATCCTGCTGGACACGGACATCGCCATCCTGAAGCTCCTGGACAAGGCCCGCGTCAGCACCCGCGTCCAGCCGGTCTGCCTCGCCGCCCCGCGGGACCTCGGCACCTCCTTCCAGGAGTCCCGCATCACCGTGGCCGGCTGGAACGTCCTGGCAGATGCGCGAAGCCCGGGCTTCAAGAACGACACGCTGCGCTCAGGGGTGGTCAGGGTGGTGGACTCGCTGCTGTGTGAGGAGCAGCACGAAAACCACGGCATCCCCGTGAGCATCACGGACAACATGTTCTGTGCCAGCCGCGACCCCACCGCCCCTTCTGATATCTGCACGGCAGAGACGGGAGGCATCGCCGCTGTGTCCTTTCCGGGCCGGGCGTCCCCTGAGCCACGCTGGCATCTGGTGGGGCTGGTCAGCTGGAGCTATGACAAAACATGCAGCCACAGCCTCTACACGGCCTTCAGCAAGGTGCTGCCTTTTAAAGACTGGATCGAGAGGAACATGAAATGAGCCTCAGCGCCACTGAGATGCTTTTCCTGAGTCCATCTCTATGTGTGTTGCCTGAGACAGTGTGGACCTGAGGTTTGATTCCGCCTGAGAATTTGGCTGGGCCAGGGCTTCTGACTTCAGGATCGCAACTCAGTGGAGAGTGAGTAGAGCTCACTTTTTGGTAGACCACTGCCCTCCTGGCCCCTGAGACCATTTGGAAGACACCGTGGCTGCTTTGCAAGAACAGAGTTGGCCTCTGAAAAGACTATGTGAATAGCGAAGGAGTGGTCTGCCTTCCACCAGCCCGGTGGCTTTGCCCACCTGCCCTACGGTGGTGTGAATGTCATGGTCAGCTCTGGCGGAGAGAGCGTTGGCCAAGAAGTCTGGGTTTCATGAGGTCTCTTCCAGGACTCTAGCCAGACCAAGTTCCAAAAGCCCGCCTGTGGGATAGCCCAGGACAGTGGAACTTGGGTGTGGCTCTGGCTTTTGTGTACATTGTCACTGTAAAGTGTGGCCCTTTCCTTCTCAATCCCCTGTCCATATTTTAATAAAACGACGGTTGGCTTCTGACCTACAGAACGAAGGTGCTATGGCTCTCATTCCTGCATGCTGCTTGTCTGAGCTACATGTGTCAGGGCTGATGGCTTGATGACAGCCCTTTAAAATAGATCCTCAACTTATAATTTCAAAACAATGCGTATGGCAAAGTTGATGCGAGTCCCTGAATTTGCTGGGTTATGGCCTGGAGGAGGAGCAACATGGAGGCCATCAGAAAAGGCTCAGAGGAAAATACCAGGGATTAGATGATTTCTAGTGTGTCTTCTGGCTCTCATGTTCTAGATCTAACTCAAAGCTCTGCTTTGAACTTCTATAAATCTTGATGACATATTTTCATAGTATCTGAACTGGAATCACCTATTTATCACACTAGATTATGATGTGCCAAGACAGCGAAGCTCCACTGTTTTTCTAGAACCGATGTGATTTTCCTTTCAAACCCTCCCTGGCCCCCACTGGATACTGGAGGGGAAAAAAACGAATTCAGTCCCTGAAGGGATCTTTTCTGTAACATTCACTCTTTTCTCCTTTCTTCCATGCTCTCCTGGCCAGTCTCCTCCCCTCCAAGATGGTGCCGGGGAGGCTACATGACTTTAAGCACTGGGGCACGATAGGACTCCAGAGTGCCTGCTGATTCTGGGTGGGAGTGGTGGATCCTTCCCACTCCTGGCCGATCTGCTGACATTGACCTCAGGTGCTACAGCTGTAACCACGGAAACTTGTGCTGTTTTCTCTGCTTCCCTGGGGCCCAGCAGCCCTCCCTGCTGACGTGGTACTCCTGAGATGTGGGGGTGACTCCCTTTTGGCCCTGGTTTGGGTCACTCGGCCTCATTGGCACAGTGACAGCCTTCTCTGGGAGACACCCTGCCAGGCTCTCAGTGACCTCCCCTTCTTCCCTTGGGGCCTTTGCAAGAACATCTCGATCTTTTCTGTACTTCATGAGGGCTGAGACCCCAGGGTTGATGCAGAGAACTCTAGAAGGTATTCATTTCCTATAGACCCAAACAGGAACATTACTGTTTCTCAATCTGCTGGAGAGAAAGCTCGACCTTCAGCTCTTTAGCTCCAACACAAGAGGTTAGGATACCCTTGTCTCCCAACCTGCCTCACTGTCTCTGTGTCTTTACGTAATTTCCTGAGCCAGGAGACCGTTTCTAGTACTTTTATCATTTTGTTGGGCTTTCTTAGGGCTTTCTGTAATCCACACCCACCTCCTTCCTCGTGGCTTAATCTAAGAGCAATGTATTAGTTATCAACTTCTGAGTAACAAGCATCTAATGCTTAGTGGTTAAAATAAGCTAGTTATTCTCTCCTAGCCTCAGTGGGTCAGGAACTGGGGAGCTGAGCTTGGCATGAGGTCATAGCCATCTGAGACCTTAACTGGGGCTGTGGCATTGGGTTCAACAGATAGTTCTACCAAGTTGCTCAAAGATTTTGTCTATGTCTTCTTTTATTTTTCTAAGCCTAGAAAACTTGGATTTTCAGAGGTATAATGGGAGTCTGAGCAAAGAAATCTAAATTCAAACTCCTGCTTTTCAACTTCATTCCTAAGTGACCTTGGGCAAGTCATCTAACCTAGTGACCTCAGTTTCACCAACTGTTAGGCTGACTTGATAAAATCCATCTTTTGTGGGGACCATGATGATTAAGTCAGATACCATGTGAAGTGCTGAGCATAGTACCTGGCTTATGGCTCGGTGCCTGTAATGCCTGGTGGGGACTTGGCTGTCCAGCTGAACACAGCTCCATAGAGCCTATATCTGTGCCTCTGTGGGCACATCCCACGTGGCTGCCCATGTGCATACCTCGTTCTCTCTGTCCTGACCCTCCCCCAACACCTGGACCATCAGTTCCCTACTTTCCTGACATCCTCTGTACTACTTAGTGTAATTTTCCACCTTTGCCCTGCCATTCAGATTTGATTCATATTTATGTCATCTCAGCTATGACTCTGATCCCCTCAGAAGCTGAACCTGGCCTGAAATCCTGACAACCCTGCCTCGGGGTACTTGGTTAATAGCCCCATGGTCATTTCTACACTACCCCCACCACCCCCAAGATCTTCCCATCCCAACCATGGCCTGATGGGCTGCAAGCACGCTGCCACACTGACCTAAATCTCTAGTTCTGGACAAAAGAGTCAGACACCAGCCTGTCCCTTGGCCATATCTGGCACCATAGGAATGTCATCCATATCTTTATAACATGGCCCTCATATCCTAAGATGGGGCTCTAAGGATGAGAGATCTCTTTCTCAGCTGGGAATCTGGAGTGGCCCATCAGTCAGGGGGCTTTTTTTGTTTGTTTGTTTTGTTTTGTTTTTCCCCAGAGAATCAGAACTTCTAAGAGTTTTATAGAATAAGGGATAGTAACGAAACCATAGAGTTGTGGACACTGGCAGGGAAGACTGTGGGAGGCTCTTGCCTTTTGCATCTGGTGTTGAACCTGGAAGCAACAGGGCCAGCAGTTGGGAAGGAAAGCCAGCTGGGAAGCTGGCCGAGCAAGGACAAGTTGAGACCTCCAAGGACCAAGGGAAGCCCATGTTGTCCCTTGCCGTCCCCCGCCTCAGTGATGTGAGTGACCTGCAGGAGAAGCTGGCACCCTTTGCATGTAGCTGTACACACACCTGATCCAGGACACTCAGAAAAGCTTGAAGATTTCCAGCAGGTGGGCCTGGGTGCCATCCCCCTCAGCCCCCAGCAAGGTAAGCTGGTCAATGAGTGACATTGTGTGTGAACTATCACCGTGACTGGTGCGCTACCAGCTTTCCGAGCATGGAGGTACTGCTCCGCTTCCTTCTTCAGACCTCATATAAGTTCCTCTTGTGCCCACTCTCATCTGCAATCATATAAGGAAGGGAATTTTGCGTAGTTCCAGCTTCCCCTAGGTTGACCTAGAATGAAAGCCATTGCAAACTATGGAATATGAATACTGAACAAATGTTTGTCCATTCGGAATGCATTTGAGGAGAGCCTGGGAAGACTCCTGCTTCATCCAGAACAGTTTGGTTCTGATTCCTTTTGTAGTAGTTTTTTTGTCTTTTATGCACATGCAGCTGCCAACATGGAACATTCTATTGGCGAGGCCTTGAGGAGGCGGCCTAGCACCTGCAGCTAGGCTGTGGTGCTCTCTTGTTGAAGGTCAGTAATTTCACAAGATGTCAATAGCAGTCAAGATCATTCTGTGACTGTGACAGAGCAAGACACCAACAAGACCACATTATCCTGTCAATGAACAGACAAAAGCAAGGTCACCATACAAACCACAAAAACACCAACTATTCCCTCTCCAGTTAATATGTGTGACTGGCTGCTTCTACCAAGTGCTGTTTTAGCCTTACCTAGTCTTCCTTCCTTTTAGATAAGATTTGTTAAGATAGCTATTCTAGAATTACCTCCACTTACTGATACTACCTGATCCAGAACAAATGATCCAGAACAAAGTCCCACCTCTTGCAACCTCCCCTAGATCACCTAATAGAAGCCCAAATCCTCTAAGTTCTTTCTAATACTATCTAGGTGAGATACCCCACAGTTCCCCCATGTTATACACTCTCTTTTATTTCAAAGAGCAATTAAGTCCAACTTGCTTAAGTATTGTTGTGTTCCTGGTGGTCTTTGGCCAGAAGTCACTGAAAAAAATGTATATGCACACATAAACTTCTATGTGTATAGTAAGAGTTTTGCCTAAATCATATAGATCTTACTTAGATTTTGTATTTCGTATGATACATAAAATGTAAGTAAAGTCTATATGATTTAGGTAAGACTCTTACCTTCCTTCGGAGTGGTCAGGCTTACATATCAAGAGGACTTTTTCAAGAGTAATTGAGTAGTGGACTCACATTCTCTTCTCTCACATCAACTCCAACAGGAATTGAGATCAAGGGGCAATCTAAGCACGCTAGCATTTCCAGTTAACTTATCATTCACAGGGTACTTAGAGTCTTTGGGGTGGTGGATGGAAAGGAAGTAGGATATTATAAGAACTTGGCAAGTGCATAAGATTAAGCATGGAGAGGGAGGGCCTGGAGAAGGACCAATTGTTGCCCGACATGAGTCCTTTATTGCAATGACAGGTCAGGTTGGCCAGCCAAGACAAGGCCAGTCAAGGTGAAGCCAGTTGGTGGTGGATTTCAAATGCTGAGGTTAATAATTTGGCTTCTTATTGCCCATTGGTGAATATCAAACTAATGTTGATGTTTCCAGGAGTGAAAGGGTAAAAGTGGAATTTTAGAAAGGCCTATCGGGCTGACTGTGCAGACAGAGGTAGTAGTTAGAAGACCCAGCCTGAGCTCAAATTCCATCTCTGTCAATTTGCGTGCTGTGACCTTGAGTGTGACACACGATCTCTATTCTGTTGTTGCCTTGTCTATAAATGGGGGTGGTAACGCATATGTGAGTTCAGCATGGAAGACGTTGTCTGACCCATTGCACATGGTCAATAATGGCCGCTGTTATGACCGTTGTTTAGTTGTTCTTCAGGAGGAGGAGACTGGAGATCTGGGAACCAATTATGAGAAACCTTACAAGGAGTGGAGAGGAGAAGAGAAGTCTTTCAATGCTGCTGACATCCAGCATCAGAAATAAGTCCAAAAACCTGCACAATGGGGTTGATAACAAGAAAGGGTGGGCAGAAATACATAGGGGCCACGGGTTAGAAAAACCAAAAAGTCTGAGAGCAAGGAGCAATGGGATTGTGTAAGTGGGAGGTGTCTGAATAAATTTCTGAGACAAAGTGCTAGGCTTGGCTTGCAGTGATTTTTTAATACATTTCCCATCTGTGTGTGTGTGTGTGTGTGTGTGTGTGTGCTGAGATGGAGTAGGGGGCTAGATTTATTAAAAGGGACCAGGCTCAGCTGGACAGGTAGGAAATATACAGCTATTTTACCCCCTCCTTTCCAGCATAATACACATTCTCTGAAGTTATGGGTATGGGGTTTGAATATGAATCTTTACAGTTCTTTGGGATTTTAGAATTTTCTGCTGTCAAACTCATCACCTACTCAAAACTTAATGGGCCTTC